GTCCTTCCTCATAGTATGACCAAGTGGACAAAGGCAGAAAATATCAATAATAATTGACATTGGACATTTCACCATCTTTGACAAGTGCTGTCTTGGAGCTGGATTTTAAAAAATAAAGAAATACGCATATCCTACGGCTTATGTATGGTGGAGCATTCATCACCGGTAAAACCAGTTGTCATGGAGTTGATTCCAACTCATGTTGACCCCATGTGTGTACACAGGGTTTTCAAGGCTTTGAAGCTCAACAGTAACTTTTTGGAAACATCACCAGGCCTATCTTCTGAGATGCCTTTGAATGGGTTCAAACATCCAAACTTTTGGTTGGTAGTCAAGTACTTAACAATTTGTACCATTCAGGGGCTCATAGCTCGTATGTGACTTTAATGAGTTTTAGAAGAAAAATCACTATCATCTTTTTCTTTCATGGAACACTATTTGAAACAGGACAGTTAGAGATTATTTTGTATATATTCTCTAGAATCCAGATCCTCTCTAATAGACTCACCAAACTTTTATGCAACTTTGGCCCTTATGGTTTCTTTCTTGGAGCCTTAGGTCTTCCCCTGGACACTTCTTATTTCTGAGAAAGTGGGAAGATGGCATGAATGAATGGTAGTGAAAGATATCTATCCAAAAAACCAAACCCTCTGTTGCCGAGTCAGTTCTGACTCATAGCAACCACTTAGGGCAGAGTAGAACTGCTCCATAGGGTCTCCAAGGCTGAAATCTTTATGGAAGCAGATTGCCTCATCTTTTCCCTATGGAGTGACTGGTGGGTTTGAACCACTTACCTTTCAGTTAGCAGCCTCAACCCACTGCATCATTAGGGATCCTAAATATATCTATAAAAGACTATAATTTTATAGGTCTTATTATTTAAAAAAACAACAAGCATTCTTGTATTATTAACCTCATAGATAAATGGCAGAATAAATCAACCAGTTGCTGTGGAATCCATTCTGTGGAATCCAATCCATAAATGGCAGAATAAACCAACCAGTTGTTGATGGAATCCATTCTGAGTGTTATAGACATCATAGGGTTTTCAATGGTTGATCTTTTGGAAGGAAATCACCATGCCTTTGTTCTGTAGTACCTATGGAGGGGGACTCAAACCTCCAATCTTCTGGTTAGCAGCTGAGTGCATTATTGTTTGTACCACCCGGGGACTTAGGAGGAACAAATAAATAAGATAAGGTGAAAGTCCCAGGTGTGGACTCTATCTTAGGAACTTGATAACTGGTTGTTCCTCCCATGTTCTGCTGTGGAATTCAGGCTGCAGAGAGTAGGAAGTGACCCCATAAGAACTTAAAATTGTAACTGTACAGACTTGAGGGAGTGGGTAGTGTCCAGTTATAGAGAATTGGCCAGGCCAGGCTGTGCCCATGTGGGAGGCATTACAAAGACTAGATGACAGTTTGTTCTGGTTTTGGTGGGTTTCAGGAGAAAAAACCATAGCAATTGGGGTCAAGTTGACTCTCTGGCCAGCCTTGCCTCACTCCATATCTCCTGACTTCTCCTCCAGTGATTTCTGCAGGCTTGCATTCCACTTTCCCATCAGTCACCTCCTTTTGCCTTGACCCAGATCTCCCAGCTTAACAGAAGAATAACTGTGCATCTGTCATGTTCCAGAATTACAGAATATAGGGGTTTGAGGAGAACAAAGGAACTGAAGTGGATACATCTCTAAGTTATGACATTTGAGAACAGGTATACTTGTATATGTGTACTCACAGCATACAAACACACACACACATGCACCAATTATTTATCTGCACATAAACTATATGTGAGTATAAACATGGATACAAAAGATGACACTAATAACAATAATTAAAAAACAATGGTGATAATTGTCAAGTACTTTATTAAGTAATGTACATAAATGATCTCATTTAATTAAAATAGGTACAGTTATGATTTTTATTTTATCAGGTTCACAAAATTTAACTTATTGAAGGTCAACAGCTAGCAAGTGTCAGCCTCAATTCAACTCCAAATTAGTGTGAAAGTAAAATCCATTCTCTGAGCCTAGTACGTAGCAAACATTTAATGAATTCTCTTTTGTGTCTCCCTTCATAATCTCCTGATTAAGTTCTGCCCAAGCCTTCTTCAGAAGCTTGTCTGGAGGAATACAATCCACAAGACTCTTATTCTTTCCACACTATAGAAGGACTTGGATTGCCTCTCTCTTGTTGTTGTTAGGTTCCATCGAGTAAATTCTAACTCATAGTGACCTTATGCACAACAGAACGAAACACTGCCTGGTCCTGTGCCATCCTCACAAACGTTGTTACACTTCAGTAACTGATGCTGCCACTATGCCAATCCATCTCGTTGGGGGTCTTCCTCTTTTTTGCTGCCCCTTCCACTTTACCAAGCATGATGTCCTTCTCCAGGGATTGTACCTCTTGATAATATGTTCAAAATATGAGAGATGACGTCTGGCCATCTTGGCTTCTAAGGAGCATTCTGGCTGTACTTCTACCAACACAGATTTGTTTATTCTTCTGGCAGTCTAATGGTATTTTTAATATTCTTCTCTAACAACATAACTCAAATGCATGAATTATTCTACAGTCTCATTTATTGCCTCCCTATTAGATCACTTCTTAGAGCTTTACTCAATTTGTTGCTGTTGAGTTGATTTAGACTCATGACAACACCATAGTGTAGAGTAGAACTGCTCCATAGCGTTTTGAAGGCTGTGATCTTTTGGAAGCAGATCACCAAGGCTTTCTCCAGAGGCACCCCAGGGTGGGTTTGAACTTCCAATCTTTTAACTAGTTGTTGAGCGCTCAGAATATATGTTATTTATTTTTTTGACAAATATTTATTAAGCACCTGACAAGTACCAGATAGAGATGTCAGAGATTGTTAACTCTCCCTCCAGTATCTCTCTTCTTCTTCTTAGTAATATTAATGGTTTCCCAGAATATAAAAAATATTTTCAGCCTATCTTGCAGCTAAGTATTTCATATGGAATGAACTCTGGCCAATGGAATGTGTAGAATCCATGTGAACAGCTTCTGAGTGGTGTCCTAAAAGGCACAGCTTGCACTTTATTTCCTCCTCCATCTCCTCTCGATGGCTAGAATGGGGACTTGATGATGGGAATTGGATCATCAAATGGAACTACCTACTGAACAGATCATCAAGCTGGGAAGAACTTTGTTCCCTGGTGATTTTGAAGCTGCTACACCGAATGGTGTACCCAAACTTTTCCATGAGAAAACCCAATCATTTTTGTTTGGAAGAATATCAGCTAAAACAGCTGAATTACTATCCTAAGTAATATGCCAGGTGATGCTATAGGCACTGAGGTGGCAACCATATTTCTTGGGTTCATGTATCTGACTTTCTCATGAGAGAGGCAATGATTAAACATGTAAAATAACATTTTAGAAGAACAAGCTACTATGATAGACGGACAGAAATCAGAGTTCCATGTACTAGTGTGATCAGTGAAAACGTCTCCAATGAGGTGTCATTTGATGAGGAGGAACAGGCCAGGGAGAGATGTGAAGGCGGAGTTTTATAGGGAAATCATGACAAGTGTGAAGACCCTGAAGTGAGAGTGAGACTGGGTTAGCTTAAGGTTCAGAAAGACAGGCGCATGAGTATCTTTCTGTTTGAAAGCTGAGGATAAGTGTTTTAAAAAATATAAATGTTTTATAAAAAATGTCTGCCTGTAACATCATGTTTTTTAAGGACTATTTAGATGAGATCAAAATGACAGCAGCGACTGGAAAGATAAGACCGGAACCTTAGTGGGCAGTGAGTTTAGGTTAGTGGAAGAAGAACAGCTTAGAAACTGAGGCTGAGAATGGTTTCACACCTTGAATATAATCTGTGTCACTAAACTGTATATGTAGAAACTATTTAGCCTGTATATGTTTTGTCATGTGTATTCTTAACAACACTAACAACAACAACAACAAATACAGTTAGTCCCCAGTTTACAAACATCCAACTTATGTGCAACCTGTAGTTATGAACCAACATCTATGAAACCTATTATATTAGAAATTGGAAGTATATACAATGGTTCCTAATAACAAATGGATGTTACTTTGAAACACACATCAAAATATTACTATTATTATTACTACTGTATTATTTTGTTAAAGGGAGTCTTGGCGGCACTCTGGGTTAATGCGCTTGACTGAAGTTGGTTTGAACCTCAAGGTCGGCGGTTCAAGCTCACCAGCTGTTCCTCGGAAATGGTATACAGCGACGCTATGGATGTGAACTGACTCGATGGTACTTAACAGCAACAACATTATGTTAAAGATGTTTTAGTGTATCTGGAAGTGCTTTAAAAAAATTTTTTTTTATGGATAGAATGGTACATGCTATGCGATATATTAAGATAGCGTTTGACTAAGTGATGTTAGATATAAGCTGTATTTAACTGTTTAGACTGACGTACAAATTTGACTTAAAGATAGACTAAGGAACGGAACTCATTCATAATCTGAAGACTGCTTATAAATGTTTCTTGATATGTATTCATGTATTGATTAATGAATTCCTTTATGTAGGTTTCTTTATTGTTGTTGTTAAGAGTTGTAGAGTCAATTCTGACACACAGTACCCTGAGTGTCAGAATTTCTGAGACCTTAAATCTTTGTGGGAGCAGAAAGCCTCATTTTTCCCCCACATAGTGGCTGGTGGGCTTGAACCACCAGCCTTGTGGTTTGCAGTCCAGTGCTTATCCTATGGAGCTACCTAAGGAACTTTCATTTGCCTGTCTCCGTGAAAGAAAGTCACTTTTAGTATGGGTGCTGGCTAGTTTCCCACGTTCCCATCCTGTACTTTGCTGAGACATCTGCTACACACTATCCTTTGGCTTGGCTGACCTCATATAAATCCCCTCCTGCTGCAATTCACTGCCCACATCCCAGCCAATAAAAACAAGGTTCATTCCTGCTGCTGAGAACTCTGTCTCCACCGGTTGCAACACAACTAGCTCCTTCTTCAGGGACTTGTCCATCATGAAGCTTCTTTTCTTGTTTCTCATCATCTTTCTGGCGATGGAACCAGTGGTATCAGGTAACTTGGGCCCCTCTCATGTGGCTGGGATCCTGATTATGGGCTTCTCACCTTCCTCCCCCTCCCCCCACCCCACACTTTGGGCAGCATCTGAGCATTTACTCATTTCATGTCTCCCTGATTCTTTTTGGCCAAGGTGGTGGGGTAATACATGCTTTGGGCATTTGGACTAAAGGGCAGGAATGGCATTGGTCGAGGCCTTAGAAGTGGAGGATTGGTGCAGGTTGAGGACTTCTGGGGGACTTTGGAAGGTTAGATTGAAGGCTGGGGAGAATTTAGATGGAGAAACAGACCTTCAGGATTAGGGTGAGTTGGGCTTTCCTAAGGCTTGAGGTGGCCTGGACAGGGGATGGGATTTGGGACTAAGTGGAGCTGGGGCTGGGGATAAGGCTGGGACGGTAAGCTTGGTGATGGGTTACTACTGAGAATTGAGGCTTGCAGTTCTGATTAGTTTGAGTTTGACTTGGAGTTGGACTCAGGGGGTACTAAGTTGAGTAGAGTTAGGAGTTACAATGAAGGTTTGGGGCTTGAATGTAGTGAATTTTGGGTCAAGGAAGATTGAAGATTGGATTGTGGCTAGAGCTGGGGCTTGTTAGGTTTAAGTGAGACAGAGCCAGCTATGCCAAGGATCTGAATCTTTTGGAATGTGAGTGAATCCTCCCTCCTTAGCCCTCCAAGTCCCCAGCATTATAGGTATCCATTGACCTTTCCCATCCCCATTAAATTGCATTAGTTAGGAACTGTATTGGCATCAATTGATCCCAAAGTTAGGAGTAGAAGGTTGAGAGAAAGGATGATCTAAGGGTGGGATGTCTGAAAAAGGCTACTGTGAAAACCTTGGGATCCAAGTCGGAACAATTCTCTTACTTCTTTCCTTTTTCAAGGTCTCCCCTCTCCTTTCCTGGAATTGGCTTCAGCATTCCTTATCCAACTCTCTGCCTCTTCTGCTCCTACTGTACTTCTTCTTGTCTCCCCACTGGAGGGATACTAACCTCTGCTTAATGATTGTTCCTATGCTCAAGAGAGATGTTGGATGGAAGGACACTGCAGATTGGTGTGCAAAGATGATGAAGACACCGTCTCACGCTGCCCAAGTCGTAAACGGTGCTGTATACTTAATCGTTATTTAACAATCGAACCAGTAGTAATTGATATAGAACGGACGGCCTGGAGTACTATTTGGAAGCCCCCAAAGGATTTAAAAGGAATGAAAAAATGAAAATAATCATGGATAAAAATGATATTGCTTCAGATTTCATAGTTTCCACATTACATTAAAATTCTCAAATCTGCTTCCCGTGTCTGTCAATCATAGGGAACACTATCTTAACTGGATGGAGGGATGGCAGGATGAGGTTTAAGAGGTAGCAGAGGGAAGTCATCAGAGTTGGGTCACAGCAATGAATTATTGATTACAGCTTGAAGATAGTTTCTCCTATACCAGCCCAAGGGACCCAGCAGAGACTACAGGGTTCTAGGTGAATTAAGGAGAACATCTGGGAAGCTGAGGGATTTAAAGACACAGCAGATGAGTGGGGTGTTGGAGAATTCTTGGGTTGGGAGAGTTGGCCCATATTGCAGGTGAATGGTTGAGGGTGGACAGGGGCAGAAGAGAGCCCAAGTTCTTGTATTTCTAGGGAAGTCCACTAAAATGTCTTTCAATGCCGCAAAGATCAGAAGTTTCCAAGAAATCAAAAATCAAAAAGACAAAACACATAAAGTTATCTTTTTTTTCTTTAAATTTTCTTAATTTTGCTGTTGTTGTTGAGAATATACACAGCAGCATACACAGATTCAACAATTTCTACATGTATAATTTAGTGACATTTATCACAGTCTTCATAAGGGAGCTGTGGTAGCGTAGTGGTTACGAATTGGCCTGAGAACCGCAAGGTCAGCAGATCAAAACTACCAGCTGTTCTGTGGGAGAAAGATGAGGCTTTCTGCTCCCATAAAGATTTATAGCCTCGGAAATCCTGTACAGGGTCGCTGTGAGTCGGAACCGACTCCATGGCACATAACAACCACCACCACCAAAGATTTACAGCCTCGGAAACCCTGTGCAGGGTCACTATGAGTTGGAACAGACTCCACGGTACAACAACAACAACAATCTTCAAGTTGTGCAACCATTTTCACTCTCCTTTTCGAACTTGTTTCTGCCTCATTAACATAAACTTGCTGCTACTTAAGGTTCCCTTCTAATCTTTCAAGTTGCATTTGGCAATTTGTTCCCATATAGACAGTTTTTAAAAGAGCAAAATGCTTAAAACAGACTTTTTTTTTAAACTAGTAATGCAAAACTATTGTTTGGTTTTCAGATGACTTTGGGGGATATATTTGGCTTAAGGTTAAAAAGTTTTCTCGGGAAAATAACTTCAGGAGTTTTAGAACTGACTTGTGGCACCTAACAACAACAAAATCTGGCCTATGGAGTCCTGGTCTGGTGCTGTAGGATAAGCACTGGACTGCTAACTGCAAGGCTGGCGATTCACACACTTGAAAACGCTATTGTTATCTTTAAGTTCCAAGTTCCACTGAGTTGGTTCTGACTCACAGTGACCCTGTATAGGGTTTCCAGGAGTAGTTGGTGTGTTTGAACCAACCTTGTTGCAATTAGCAGTCCAGTACTTATCCTACAATGCCACACCAGGACTCCTTGAAAACCCTATATAGGATCACTAAGAGTCAGAACCAACTGGAAGACACTTAACAACAACATCCAGCCTCCAGAAAGTCTAGAGTCTATGAGAAGTTGAAATTCTGTTCTGTATTTTTCTTCATTTGGTCAGAGAATTCCTTTGTGAAAGCTTTGAACCGAATGTTTAGTAAAAGCACTATCCAGTTCTTCTGAACTCATGGCAAAGGAGGTGGTCATTTATGGAGACAATTAGCCACAAACACTACACATTCCTCTTTTCCTTGACTCTTCTTCTATTGTTCCAGGTGACCAGAGAATTGTACCACGAATGATCACTTGCAAGCTTTAAAGACCCCAGGCACTAAGCAATGAACTAAGAGGCTGAGCAGAGCACTAAACACATTATGAGGCCAATTAATTAGAATGTCTCATGAAACTATAACTGTAAACCCTCAAGCCAAGAAACCAAATCCCTATACGCTTACTCTTTGATATATTAAGCTTTTTTTTTAAAACATTTTTTCACTGGTTAATTTACTCATTTCTTCACCTCAGCTGTCACCACCACAGCCAGATTCTAAGCAAATAAACTTCTAAGAACTTCTGGTGGAAGTTGTGCTACCGTATTTCCAGTGGAATTCTGAAGGATCCAAGAATTATACATTCAAACCTGACTTTTCATGTCATTATGAACAATATTTCATAATGATGGATGGAATATACGTTAGTTATTTCTGATGTTAGCTTGATTTATAACTTTTAAATATTCAAATATATGGTAGTGAGCTTCCACTTGTATTCTCGTCCCAGGGATGTGCTTGGAATTTGGATTCTGCTATGACAAACAATCCATTTCCAAGGCCACTACTGAAGCAGGAGCTGCTTAAACTGCTTAAAGTCTTGATGCCTCTCCATGAACTACTGTGTCCTGAAGCCCTGGGTAAAAACCATCCAAAGACTTCCCAGGGGCCTCTCTGCTGCCAAGTTTTCTCTGCTTTAGTCTTTGTGATTAAAGGGACTCTTTCCAGGAGATTTATTTCACCATTTTGCACTCCCACTGATATACCATAATTTTCCAGGATTCTGGGCCTTCAAGGCCATCACATGACGGACTAGCATTATCTCACATGACTGCCCCTCACATACCTTCACTTAAGCCATACCCGTTTTCCCACTGTCCTCTCCTACCCATGACATGGCCTTTATTCATGGTTCCCGGTTCCCTTACACCTTATCCCACAGCACCAGACTCATCTCCATGAACTTCATCTCATCCTTCAAAGTCCAGTTGATACCACCATCGACAAAAATCCACTGGTAACTCTGTCCCACTATTGTTATTGTTGTTATTAAGTGCCATTGAGTCAGTTCTGATGCATAGTGACCCTGTATAGAGTTTCCAAGGAGCAGCTGGTGAGCTTGAACTGCCAACCTTGCAGTTCAAACTGACTTTGCCGTCCAGCGTATTAACCTGCAGCATCACACCAGGACTCTGTCCCATTATTAGTATAATGTATAATATAATAATATAGTATAATAATATAATATAAAGTATAATAATAATAGCCCACTAATAGTTCTACTGATAGAGTACTTGCTATGCATCATGCATTGTGGTTGGTGCGCACAATCATTTCATTCTTGCAACAATCCTCTTATTATCCCTATTTCACTAATGAGGAAACTGACATTTATAGAGACAATACTATTAGTCAGCATCACAGGGCACTAAGACAAAGCAGAGTTTTGAACTGAGTTCTGGCAGCATCATAAACTATCACTTTTTAAAAAAATGTTTTATTGTGAATTATGTGATAGTTTACATGGGAGAACATTTGTTTTATATTCATTCTATCTTATATTGTTTCATTGTTATGATTACAATCCCCCCCATGCATCAGCAACCAACCAAAGGGTATACACCACAAGTGCCCACTGGTCATCAGCACACAGCCCCTCTCCCTCTCTGTGTCTAAAGTCCCCAGCTGCTCCATCTCTCCACGTCATCGTCTCTGCCTCCATCTCAGACATCACTGCTTCTCTGGGTAGGGTCCGGCTCTCTGCTCTTCTCCCTTGATGGTCCCAGGGACCTCCGCTCACAAACTACCACTCTTAAAAAATTATGGCACTGATCATGTGCAATAGCTAAGCCATTGAACTCTCCTCACCAGACCCCAAAGCACACACAAAACCCTTAGGGCTGGAGACTATCACTTATTTATATCTCTATCAACAATTGTGAGGTTAGCCCAGGATCGGGCAGCATTTCATTCTGTTGTGCATTGGGTCGCTATGAGTCAGTACCAACTCTATGGCACCTAACAACAACATGTCTAGTGATACTGCTGCTGTGGACCGATGAGTTGATTCTGACTCATAATGACCCTGTATAGGATTTCCAAGGCTGTACATCTTTATGGGAGCAGAAAACCTCATCTTTCTCCCAGGCAGTGGCTGGAGGATTCTAACTGCTGTCTTTGCAGTTAGCAGCCCAATGAGTAAGCCACTACATTTCCAATCTAATATTGGCTTGAATTTAATATAGTGCCTATTGATGAAATGACCAGTCAAGTGGTGAATTCATGTATGGAAGCATGAGTGGATTTGGTGTGGACATGAATGATTGTGTGGACAGGCTGATGACAGATTTCAAGAATCAGGGGTAGGATGTCTTCTGGGACTGGGATAGAGGGATCACAGGGTAGAGGTATTGGGCATATTTGGCTCTGGTTAATGGTGGTAGAAGGAGACTTACCAGCTCAGTGGCTAAGAATTCAACTATTAACCAAAGGGTCAGCGGTTTGAACCCACCAGCAACTCTGAGGGAGAAGATACCTGGTGGTCTGCTCTCATAAAAATTACAGACTAGAAAACTCTATGGGACAGTTGTATCTACTATGTCACATGGGGTTGCTGAGAGTTGAAATCAACTTAGTGGCACCTAACAACAATAACAAAAAGTTTCAGAAAGGATGTAGAATAGCTTTGGAACGTCCTCAAGTTCGTTCTTATTATTCACCTGTTAGTAACTTTTAGAACATATAGATTTCATAGTGTGGGAGGTGGACTGTGGAGAGTCTAAGATTCTCACCTCCAATTTCTGGGGCCTTACATCAACCTCTCCATACACAGTTACACATGCCCCCACTGAATCCATTTATTTGTACATTAATTTGTCATCTATGAATTGTTATCTATTTGTTCAGTCCATAACATTTATTAAGATCCTTCGTTTTTCTTAACACTGCATACAGAGGCAGCTGTAGGGTGGGGGATGGGGTGGTAGACTAAGGAAAGACCATGACACTCACCGTTGAGTTGCAGTAAGTTTTCAGAAGACTTTTTCTCTGGCCTCTTCCCAGATTACTGTGGTAGAATTTCTGGAGGTGGGCTTGTTAAGCTCTGTCGAGTTGGTTCTGATTCATAACGACTCTGTATAGGGTTTCCAAGGAGTGGCTGGTGAGCTTGAACCACCGGCCTTGCATTCAAACCGACTTTGCAGCCCAGTGCATTAACTCACAATACCACACTAGGACTCTGGAGGTAGCATATAGGTATGTGAAAATTTAAAAACTCCA